TTTTGATTTTAAACTACCTGAGGATGATTCCTTATAATGTTGTAAACTTTGTTTTTACTTCTAGCCCACTGGTTCATAAGAAGATTTTTAAATAGACACACCAATTTTTCAATATTTCTTTGTTATCTCCCTTTGGAAGAGAGAGTGTGGTCCTTCATTTGAATGAACTTCAAAGAAGACAGACATTAGAGCCTTCGGTCTAGTTGAGCTAAAATTAAGAAATTCTCTTTAAATCTTGACTCCTTTTTACAATGTTTTAAAGAGTGAGAACATTGTTGTGCTTTTAAAATTGACAGTTTGTTTAGAAATTACTTTAACTCCCCCATGAAAATAAAACTTGAATTAAATTGTATTAATGACCAAAGAGGGACATATGTAATAAAAATACAAATCTCTCTGGATTTCTCTAAAGCAGACAAGTTAATCATTCGGAGGGAACTCCTTGCAGCTCTTACAGTTTACAACATATTCAGCAGTTATCTCTCTTTCCCCATTCATTCTTATACATGTATAAAGATATGAATCCAACCCACCACCTTAGCTCCAAATTGGACGAAACACTCTAATTTAGAAACAAAATAAGTCTTAATGCCTATTCAGCCTACAAACCAAATATACACTTAAAAGGATAAATAATATATAAAAGAAATTATTAAAAGGAGATTAAAAGAAAGAATGAATGACAAATGGACAGACAGACTTATAGACAAACACACATAATGATTACTATAGGGCAACTGCAAATCCTTGTCTATTGTTTGGTTATGAAGTTAATATTCCTTATGCTCTGATAAAAAAAATAAAAAAGAAACAAATAAAATAAAAACTTCCATTTGTATTACTCTTGTTAAACAAACATGTGAAAATATGTCATAAACAAAGTATATAAGTAAGATTTAATCTCTTATGACTATTGTCAATTAGCAAAATGTTTAACTTTGAATTTCAGATTATACATGTTAATTAAGTTTTTTAATATCTTCGTCCATTTGCTATCTTATTTAAATACAATCAATCCAAAAATAGAACCGAAATAGATGCTAAATAGCAATAAAAAGTTTGATAAGTACACTGTATGACATTTTTCAAAAACAAAAAAATCTTTAAAGTATCATGTTAGCTCATTCAAAATATCCCAGTTCAAAACTACCGGTAACAGTTTACATCGTACTTCTAAAATTGCTTGATATATAATACATTTATGGAAGATATTTATCAATGAAGGAAAACAAAAGAAAAATAGATAATTAAAGAAAAGTTTAAACAAAAACGAAGGAATTACAATGTAAACAAAGCAAATTAAGTAAATATAAAATCTGAAGTGGAACTTACATATTTCTAGACCTGTAATTTGTTATTAAGCAACAAATACAAAACTGCACAAATAAAATTAGCAAAAAGTAATTCTCAAAAACAAGGAAAAGTTTACAACAAAGTTCTTTCTGTATACAACATAGCTCTTTCTAACTCTCTTTTCTACCATTGTAATTATACAAAGATCTCTGAATTCTTTTTAAAACAGTTTTGTTCCTGAGATAATGTAATTTGTAATAAATAGACTAGTACGCAAGATCCAATGAAGGAAATACAAGTACAAGTAAAAAGCAGATAATGCAATAAATATGACTAGTTATGATCCCTCCTACATTATGTACCCTTGTCCTTGTCCGTAATTGTACACACATAGACCATTTGTCTTTGAACATGCACTCCCTTTTCTCTACACTGTAACTCAACACAGCTAGTGTATATCTTTAATTCTGACCTTGACATGAAATATGGATCGTTGACCTTGACATGAAATTAGGAACCTGTCCATAAATTTCGGGAAAAAAAATCTTTGTCTCATACAGTCTAAAATATTGGCTGAGTTAATGTAGTCACATATTTACCATTACACACAAATCAAATGACACAAAAGTTTAATCCTGCCCCCATCTCATACACACCAAAATCTAATTTGTGAGAACTGCATACTAGAAACCCAAACACCTTCTCAGACAGTTTGTAATATTCATTTGTAAGTCAAGTTGTTAAAGCATATAATATTATGTATCTGTTATAATTTACAACTTCTACAGTAAAATTAAGTGATTATCTAAAAAAAAAACAGAAATGTATGCAATTATGATTACAAAGCTAAACATACATTGTAATTATCACATCATATTGGACTCATAGTATCACAGCAACCCATAATGTTTCACCCAACAACAACAAAACACTGGTGATTACATTCAATGTAATAATGTAACAACATTATGGGTTTAGGATTTCAAGATTTGAAAAAGTCGCTAAAAAATCATGATTAAATATGCAGTTGGCAAAGCTACAGGTAACTGTAGCTTTTGATCATTAAGTCTGCTTGATTGCAAGAGCTTTTTAATAGATTTTGTTGGCAAATATGAAATATGACAAAAATACAGATGAACACATAGTGAATTAATTTAAACAGATATACACAAAATAAGTCATGTCTATACATGTTTTGACATAGACCATGAAAAATCACACACATCACTTTTTTCATTAAATTTCACTTTCATCTCAGTCTCATTTTCATTTTCTGTAAGCCAATTGTTTTTATTATAGAAAATTCCACCTAAGAGTATGGGAGGTTGTTCACACTACAGATGCATATCAACAGATTTGATCTTGTTCAAAATTGATATAGTGTTCAACATTTATAACAGTGATTGCATGTACTGTGAAATCACTAATTTTCTTGGGGGTTTAATTTTCGTTGTTTTCTTGGTATGAGGAGACCCACGAATTCATGTCCACCACGAAGTCTAAATTTTCATATGAACAACTACTAAAAAGTTCTTCATCCACGAAATCATATCACCACATTTATTCCTTCAACCACGTTTGATATGTGATTTTACAGTATATCATTAATTTTCTATTAACATTCTTTAAAATTACATGTCCTATCAAAGCAAGGTAACATACATGTACATTTCTCTATAGCAAAGAACTGTGAAACATCCATGATTTCTACAGCCATGACTAGAATATTTACCATTCAGATCTCTTAGGTACAAAATGTGCTAAGACTGAATAAGATAATTATACATTGACACACAGACTTTTCAAATATTATTTGAAAATCATTTAAACTTTATAATTAAGTTTAAGTTTTAAATCTTTCCTAGCACCATTTTTTTTTATTTTCAAATTTTCAATTATGTGTAGTTATTCAGACATGAAAAAATACAAAAATTTTAGGTTCAACATTCAGAGTTTTCAAAGCTGGTTTCGGACTCTGTCAATAGTATCCATGTTTGTTGATTGTGTGTTCAATGCATATGGATTATAATGGGACGTACAAAATGCAGTCAAAATGCCATAGAAATAAGTGTTTGGACTTAAAAACATTCTGTTTATTATACATGTAATACTTTTTTTAAAATGCACCTAGGATTTCAAGACATGAAAAAGCATCTTATGAGCATGAGTATGATGAAGATCCTAATTATCCATTTAAGAAAAGATAAATGGAATCTATACATATCATAGACCTGTTTTACATGTTATACCAATAAGATCCTACTTGTCCATGAAAAAGCATCAGATCAATTTTGCAACACTCAAAATGGCTATAATGCAACAAACAGATGAAGTGTAAATTGATGTAAAAGGTGGACACATTTGTACAAACTAGACTCCACAACAACACCTGCATCCACCATTCAATATACTCCAGTTCAACAGGCCCACATTCTAAATACCAACAACGTTTTAGGACCTTATTCTTAAAAGTAACATAATGATGATCAAAAAGACTTTAAAATTTACTTTAAAAAACCCAAAGTTTAAACACATCCATGCTGATCAGCATGACAACCTGATTTTTTTTCTTGATCAATGAACATGTGTGGGTTTTTTTCTCCATAATTCATTTGAACAGATTTGTCTCCCTTTGACAGAATGAGAGAAATCTTTAATCTCCTTTCTATACTTAACATATATCCCTTGTTAACTTCAGTTTGTTTGTATCAATCTCTGTGTACAGACAGGCAGACAACATTGGTTATTAGTTTGACATCCCTTGAAGCTAATATTCTGCAGCTTTTTGCACTAAAATTTCATCTTTTTGGTTAATTACTTTAACCTTTAACATATTTGATCAAATGTAGAGCCCATGGCAATAAATATAATCTTATTTTACGTAAAATAGTTTGAATAATATTTATCATTTAACAAGTCTTGGAAATTAATGCGCGTAAATTATTGTGTGACCTTTTTGCACTAAAAAGTAACATTTTTGGGTTATTAAAAAACTTAATAAGCAATAAAAAAATTTCTTATATCAAACTTTTTACATGGCTTTAGTGCTTTTCAGAATCACAAGTATTTGGTCGAGTAGTTTAAAATAATGAAAGAAAAAGGTGGGGTCAGTATATATTAATTTTGAAATATTTGTCAAAATATGTGATTTTTAAGGAATTTTCAATATATATTATAAATTTGATCTTGACTTCCCTTAATATATTTTCATTTTTTGGAAAACTTGTTGAGGGAAGGTGTACAACTTACCTAAAAATATAAATTAAGACCTATATTTAATATTTTTAGCAATTATGGCTTGGCTATTCTGAGTAAAAGTATTTTTAGGAAATTTCCATATATTAAATTTTATAAATGTAAGATTTGCAGAATTTTCTGCTAAATATCCTTCCACCAAAAGAAATAGTCCCTCATATAATCTTGCTTCTTTGTAGATTTTTGAGCAGTTTTTTTTTGAATGTTAAAAAATTTACATATATTTCTTGTAAAACTATGGCCCCGGGGGTTATAAAAATTGAATTTTAATAAGTAGTTTTGAAGTAAAATTATGGCTTTGCATTCTTGAGAACAAGACTTTTAAAGAATTTTCCTATATATTTCTATGTAAAACTTTGGTACCTTAAACAGATTTGTCTCCCTAGCCCCGGGGGTCATGATTTGAACAAACTTGAATCTACACTATTTGAGGATACTTTCCTGGCACACATATATCCCTTGTTAACTTCCAGAGTTTGTTTATACCAATTTCTGTGTACAGAGAGGCAGACAACATTGGTTATGTTTGACATCCCTTGAAGCTAATATTCTCAGCACACTACATGACAAAAATCAACAAATGCCAGGTTTCAATTTTCAACCTTGTAACATTTCTTAGAAAATCACAAAAAATGAAGTTCATACATGTAGATGACTGAACAGAAGGATAGATTAGGCATACAGTATGTGCCATATGGTATACAAAAATTAAGATGGGCATATAAGAATAATGAATGGATTGTCTATTTATGCGTTTTCTACACTGTCAATAAAGAACTGCTTTTTCAAACAAATACAGTTGAGCCATGTTATTCTGGACACTTGTATTCCAAAGAAAATTATATGAATTAGTAAAGGGTTCAGACTACTAAAACACCCTGGGTATTTATAAATACCATCAGTTAACCTAGATATTGTCAAGAAGGTGAACCATCTGGATCACTGGCATCAAGGATAACAAGGGCCCACTGTAATTGTAAAGACAGCTTATTTTGAATGAATTCTGGTGATTGATCATTTTACAGAGACAAACATAATTTTGTTAAAAAAAATCAAAAAATTTCATTTACTGGTTGATAGTTGATATTATATTAATAAACTTTTGGCATTACATTGTACTCTGTTTTTATGCATTCAAAACAAAAATTAATATGTGAACTTCCAATTGCCATTCAGATTTATAATTCAAATTCTGTGGACAAAAAATTCTACATGTATACATGCTTCGTGCAATGGGCGATAAATTATCAGCAATCAGCTGCTGTAAGAGACATCACGATTGGGTGACACATCGATGCTGGGACTACTTTCTTCGCTGGAGCTGTATTTACCCCCATCAACCACCCCTTCAGAAGAGGAACCCATCTGAAAGAGTGCAGCCCGTTTATGTGTCGTACTGATTTCCCCGCGAAGAAATTTCTCCAGCTTGTCTACGCACGCATCCTGGTAGTCATGGATCCATCTACAAAAGAAATTTGCATTATCACTTTCACCTCATCATTATCCAATATAAGCTTTATATAATTAATTTTGCAATAAATTGTCAAAAAATGCTGTATAATAAACAAATTTCAAATGCATGTATAAAATTTGGTAGTTTTATTCATATTCATTATCATTAAAAAATCAAGAATAAAATTTTTTCTCCACACTGAGGTTACAATAAAGGTGAATCTTATGTTACTTACATGAAAATGAAGAAATACAAGGTTTAAGAAATAAACTTGCCTTATTCCATTGAAGAATGTTATCTGTCTCATGTCCTGTGGAAGCTTCTCAGATGGCGGCCAGTGAAAGCTGTCCAAGAGGGGAATGATGTTACAGCCATTTTCCATCGCTGCGACAATCTCCTGAACAAAAACAAATTACATGTATTGTACATATTATTTAATTTAAAGCCCACAAAGTACACAATACAGAGATGCATTTTTTGAAGTTTCTAATTAGCAAATTTGATAAATTGAGATTTAATTAAATTTCCTTAAAGCTGTAATATAAGGAATTTTTGTCCAATGGTGATAGATTTAAGAATTTTCAATTGTCAGTGCAAAGAAAATTTGAAAAGAAATGTGTTCTGTGAAAACAGAAAGTTGCTGTTCTCATATACATGTACATACATTAAGGGTACTGATGTATTTTAACTAAAATATACTCAACAAAAAAAGAAACGCATATTGTTTTACTCATCAAAGAAATTTTTAAAATGTACAAGGAACAACTATATTTTATATCATTGGATACCTGTGACCTATTTAAAGGACAATATGGGATTTTAAAACCCAAGTGTTAAATTATCTCCCTTGATTAAAAGTGTTTATGAAAGTTTTGTTTTTCATGATTTCTTCTAAATCGGATCTCTATTTTTGTTGATATTTTGGATTTAGAGAAACTGTTATCACTCCTATTAAACCCATATTTAAGATTTGATTGCAGTGTTGATGCTGCAATGCCACGCCGAAACAAAGGTGAATACAACCAGGCTAATGATGATACTAAATGGAGCTACGCAACAGGAAGTTGCAAGTGCATTTGGAATACATCAATCGGCTTTTAAGCCGTTAAACAAATGTCAGAAGACCAAGAATTGGCTATCCGCAGGTAACCACACCCAGGCAGGACCGTCAGCCCCCCCCTTTTTCAGCACCTCACACGATTCAGAACTGCTTTAAAAACTGCTGCTACAATTGCTGGATGTAAAAATCAGTATAAATGTGCATAAATTGTTCGCAAGAGACTGAGAGGAGCTGGTATTTGTGCAAGACATCCGTACATTGGAAATTCAGTTGCGCTTAGACGTCGCAAAAGACATATGGATGTTTTCGACCGTATGCCCCTAAAATTTGGAGGCGTTGACAATGACATAAACTTCACTTTTCTACTCGCAAAACAGGACATGTTTGATTTTTATCAAAACCCTCTAAAATCACTTATAAAATAGTAAGGAGTAAGCTGAAAACTTAGATTATCATGTTTAATCTGAATATGCGTTTCTTTTTTTGTTGAGTATAGTTCTTTTTCAGCTAGATTTACCTTGTGTACCCAGTCATTTTGTTCGTCATCCCCCATACACCTGTCCAGGGCGTTAGGAGTCAGAACTAGAATGAAGTTTTTGGCCAGTCTCACACTGTTCAGGAGATTTTCATCAAACTTTCCTGCCTTCAGCTTCTCAATGTCCAGAAATACAGAGAATCCTCTCAGCTGGAGGTGTACCTTCAGTAAACTGGAACAAAGCAAATTCAGGACTGTGTAAAAAAACATTATGCATCCTATCATTCATCATATGAATACAAAGTTTGCTCTCGTCTAAAAATTAAACATCTTGGCACTAAAAAAAAAAACTCTTTATATTTTTGTAAATCTGATTCATTGGTATAAAGAAAGAAAATAAGTATATCTAAATATTAATTAGCAAAGCTGAAATAAATTGCTCTGCTCCACATTGCTGATGTATAAAAAGTGTTCACATTTTCTACGACAAGTCTCATTTACAAACAAAAGCTATTGAATGAATATTGTACCAGAGGAATTGAAAAATTCATTATTTTTACTTCTATGACCTATGCTACCATTGGGCAACGTCAGTAGTTACCAAACAGCCCACTTTCATTATTCTCTGACAATGATCGAATGTCCCCCATTACCTGGCGAGCTGTGACCCGTTGACCCGTCGGTAGCTGATGAAGACGTCGATGGGTCGGGAGATGGTGTTTGTCGATCCATCCATAGCGTCCACACTCTCCATACTGCTTTCTGAGCTCCTTGTGGCTGAAAAATGTCAACAATCAGTAAACTATTAATATGACAAGATATAAGCTTGTATATATAATTTTTTACTTCATTTTGTATTGAAAATAAATTTACATGTTAAAAATTATGCTAGAGATGAAATAAACATTTAAGAAAAACACATGCATCAACTTTATTATTAAGCATCAAAGTTTTTTTTTTAAGAACAATTAATCAATAAAACAGAAATGGCCTTAATTTACTTCTCACTGAAATTTTACAAGATTTTACTTATAATAAATAAATGTACATTCTGATCTGACCTATAATTTTAGTAACAGTACAAAGTATCTCAGTTTTAAAATGTATTTGTATTATCATAATCATAAGTTAATAGAGTACATCCTACTGCAAAATGAAATGCATCTGAATATCTTCCAAATAGATCTATTTATTATCTGGATTATATACATGTACATGTATGCCATGATTGAAAAATTCCTAGCCCCTTGATTCAGTGATCAGTTGAGATCAAATATTATTTATCTTTACCTCCACAAAACCTTTCATGGGAACATTACATGGATTTCTTTTTAATTCAACTAAAACAAAAATAAATTACATAACTCTAAATTGCTACAATTAGTTAAGAATTTCACCTGTGCTCAACTTCCAAATGAACATAACATTTTTTTTTCTTTACCAGACCAAGACCAAATTCTGATTTTATTCTGCACCTCTCATTGCAGAGGGCTAGGCCTTACTCAATCAAGTTATATAATAAGGTTTGCTCCCAGAGTTTGTGTTAATTTAGAATAAATCTTAAAACAAAACAATTATTGCTGTTTCTTCAGTCAATACAATGATTTAACAACCCTTAAAGTACAGTAATCTTTTAAAATTTTGTACCACCCCTGTCAACGTGCGATCGGCAACGCAGATCAAAACATTGAAGAAGAAAGTATTGTAGGGGGTAAATCTAAATAGTTTTGTATGTGCTGGAGTGTAACCAGCTGAAAATAAAATTAGAAAACATTTAACTTAGATAATTATCTACAGTTTAGGATTTACTGAGAGTAAGTTTGTTTCACAGTTTCTGTGCAAATGCTACCGATCAAATCGACAATGTTCAAAATATCGAATTTTCATGCTTTGAAATAGTTTATTGTTGTTATTACCTACGGACATTTGCTGCTTTTGTTATGTAACGGTTCTTGAAGGTATGAACTAAATGATTTTGAAATTAAGACTACATACATTATCTTAAAACAAATTTTAACTGGAAAATTTGACAACTGCGAGGCGATCGTCAACGACATGTATCTTTTTTAGGGATGTCAAAATTGTCAATAATTGATATTCGAATATTCGATAGTAGTATTCGAATATATTCGAATATTCGATAAAAGAAATACATCTTGCATTATAATATGTATATATTTTCACTCTTTTGTCAAGCAATATATACGTTTTATGTCATATTTTTGGAATAAAATTTCATGTAGAGATTTGTAAATGCACTTTAATCAAATTCTTAAAATATTTTACAGAATATTTGAAGAGTTTATATCCAAAATGTAATAAAGAAAGATTTTCCCCCGAAATTCAAAAGATTCTTTTAATAAGTTGTCAGATTAATTAATCATCTTACCAAAGTGTACACTGATAACCCTACAGATTTATACCACACAGAACAATTATCTAATGGAGAAACATTAAAAGCAATTACTTTTAGCTAATTAATTTCCTGATAATTATTTTAAATGATGTATAAACAAAAATGTGTCCTTTCAACAATACAAACTAATTATAAGTACTGGACACTGTTATATCTCTAATTAAATGATCAAATGAATAATTTATATCATTTTAATAGACACATTCTTCACACCTTTAAGGTAATCCAAGAGGAGTGTCTTTAAAAAAAATTATTTTGTTTTAAATAAAATCTTATTATTGGTCAACGATGAGAATTTGATTCAATTTCTGATAAAACTTCAGTTTTTGCCAGATTTTTTTTTTTTTTGTTGATGCTTGTATACTTAAAATCCGAATATTCGAATCATGAATTTATATTCGAATATCAACTCATCGAATGAATATTCGAATATTCGAATATTCGTTGACATCCCTAATCTTTTTATGAAGCGATCGTACAACATAGAAATAGCGATCGTACAACACACGAAATAAGAATAGCACAAATCAGAGAATCTTGTTGTCAAAAAGTATATTTTGATATACAATAGATATTTTACATTTAAATTAGGCAATCAGTCATTGTTATATACCTTTTTAACTCTTAAAATTGTTCTAATTAATACAGAAAATTGAAATTAACTGTGTAGATTAAAGAGATACAATTGAAAAAGAGTTTGATGGCTAACAAAAATGGAAAGTAGAAATTTTACCTCAATTTTCATAACAGTGCCACCCCCCCCCCCAAAAAAAAACCCTAAATATCTTAGATGGTTTATCATGCAAAGTTTAAGTAAAGGAACATTTTCTTAACTCAAAATTCAATTTTGAAAATTTGTTGTGTGGGATGGAGGGAGGGGGTGTTATGATTCAAGTTCTTGAACAACCAAATTTTATCCAAAAATTACCAGCTGCCTTACCCTGATTTAACTATATACTGCAAAAGGGGGACAACCAATCTATTGGTTTAGCCCCCCCCCCCCAATTTCAAATTGCCCCCCCCCTTCAATTTGCTTCCGACGCCTATGAAAGTAAAGTTTTCACCTCACCCCACCCCGATTCTACACTGTACATGTACGTGCATGATATTAAAATTTGCAATTAATTTTAAAAAAAAAATACTAAATATAATAACAGTTTTCAGTAAATAAAAAAAATATACTGTAATACATAATGCTGTTATACTAACACATGCGTGTACAACACATTTTTACTGAAAACATTTACTGAAAATATTCGGTAAAATTGCTAGGTATGCAAATTCCTTTGATCATTATTTTTAAAGTATTAATACATATTTTTTTTATTTTCTGAAAAAAATTCAGTTTTTGATATGTATGCCAACTCCTGTAATTGCACTGTCATTTCATAGACAATAAAACCTTTTTTTTAATATTGCTAAAATTCGGTCCTATAACACTCTATAGGTGTCTGTTTTAAACAATAATCAAATAATATCAAGTTTTAGGGTTCCATGGACTTTTAAATTTTGTTCTCTTAAAATACGGACATTTTTCAACTAATATACAAGAACGTCAGTTAAATTCGCTCTTTCCATCTCGAAAATCAAATGCTCGGTATCTCGTTCTATTTCGACAGACTTTCCACCCATACTACATGGCTATCTATAACTTTATTTCATTAAAAGTATTTTATAAATTTCAAGTTGCACGATCGCATATTTATCACATTTTCTTTGTTGTACGATCGCATATAGAGTCGTTGCCGATCACCAAAACGTTTGGCATGTGTGCACTTTAAACCATTATTTCAACGCTTTCTATGTGATGAAGAACTTCAAATCGGATTTAAAATTTATGATTTACCTATTTACAATGCAAATGTGCCTTTTGGACTGTCGGGTATATGTAATAAGGTAAGAAATGCCACTTGAACGAGCTTCATGGGTCACGTTAGGGCAGTAATGTTCAGGGAAAATTTGATTTTAACATAATATACGGTGATTTTTAATGCGTAGAGGACTTTTATGGTGTTAAACATGTCTAGTAGCATTGAAAAAGTCAGAAATGTTGAAGGAAAATTGCGAGGAAATAGGACAAAATAATGTTTTATTTAACCTCATCTTCCTCATGTAGCTGAATTTAACTATCCGCGTTGCCGATCGCATCTGCGTTGCCGATCGCGCGTTGACAGGGGTGGTACTCTTCAGGCAGTTTGATCATTTTTATGACCTCAAATACAGCAAATGAATATAATAATGTTTATATTTATATGTCATAAATGTATATTCATCTAGTGGGAATAAAATCACTTACTGTATATGTATAGTATGGAGTTATATTTATACATGTAGCTGTTTAATAATAATATTAATATGCTATAATTTAATTTTTGAATAAACTAATTATTAAAAACAATATCTGTAATAAAGAAAGATTTGAATGTCAATTTGATTAAAATTATATCTTTTGAATTCCCTAGCTCCTTTATTTGGTAATTGAGTGGACCACCAGAATAAAGAAACTATAGGAAGGTTTGATAATTAATCAGACCAATGTGTTTGCCTGAGTAATGTTTATTGTGTTGGTCTTATCTGCACTTAGAAAGTGCAAACAAGTACATGTATAATTGTATAGTAATATAAGTACATAATAATATAAGTACATATATAATTATATTCTTCCAGATATATACAAACATGTAATATGTGTTATTAGCTTGGTTTAATAACATTTTACTCCATGTAACAATTAAGTACGGTACAATAACCTGAAGTATTTCTCTAGGATAGTAAGTTGGGATTGCAGTGCAGAAGGAGATAAAGACAAAAAACAAAGTAAAACAAAACAAAACCCTGACACAATGCACAATCTAAACCACCAGGTATCAAGTGCACTTTGGGTTTTCAGAACATTGGTTGTGTAGGGGAAAGGGAAAGAGAGTCCCCAGCACAGCCAATTTTACTGTGGTATATTCTTATCAAGTTCTTTCTGCATGCTATAACAATCTAACTGAATCAATTTTTCTCTTTTCCAGAAAATAAGGGGTTTAATGCATTAAACAAGGATATATTTAATTAAAAGAGCATTAATTTGATCATATAATTTCACTTTCATCTATTCAGTAGATGTGTTTATCATTCTCATCAATTGATTGGTGACATGAAGTAAATCTGTGGTTCATTCTTAAAATAAAAAATTGTTCACAGAAACTAAAAGGCAAGTTCAGCATATTCAGACAACAATGATAAATATTCCAAAATCATCCGCTAATTAAAAATGATTGTCTAACAACCAAAAATAAATAATAAAATAAAATTTCATGAAATTTAAAAGCCTATATAGTTTAAATCTGAAATGTCAAGCTCAGTCAAGCATTTCCTGAACAATTAGAGAGATAAAACAAAACAAATTGTTTTAATCTCATCATTGCTCTATGGATTCCAGGTAAGGTGATTTTGAAGGAACATATTTAGCATTCACCGAGTTACCTTGTGTTTTAGCTTGGATATTGTACATGGAATCTTCTGTGAGAAAGCATAGGAAAAAAAGAGAGAAAAAAATCTACACCTTCCATAAAAGTGTAAATAAGTTTAACAAAAGGCAACCAAATCCACTTACATATGTAAATTCCACTAACAAATCATGTAAGTTGTAAATGAAGTTTTCTTTATTTCATTGCATGGTTTCCTCCAGAATGAATTCTGAACATATCCTTAGATGAATACCGATATATCTTTGTACTAATTTAAAGAAATCATAATTCACATATCATTACTGAATTTGCATGTCAATATCTTAATTTACCTAAAAAGAAAGAAATGTTCACAAATCCATTCCAGCAAATACAACAAATGGCAGATCTAGAAGCCAAATAAATGAAGAAGTTTTGACATTAAGAATCATAGCTTCTGTAGCTATTCACAGACTTGCTCTATAATAATTTTGAGAAGACAAAAAGAAATACATATATTGGTTTCCCAAAACAGATTTCCTCCTACCATCCTATACACATGGTACATGTAGATGTGGTTGCCTTTTCTTTACTTATAACAAATCCTTCACCCACTAGCACCAGAATTTTAAAGACACTTTTAATACCTCAGCGTCAAAGAGATGTTTGCAGTTAGGCCCTAGATAAAATTAATTAAGCAAATGAAACAAAACTTTAATTCACCGTGTGAGGAAAACTAAATTGAAAAATTAAAATTGCATGCAACGATTACATACACATAAGAAAAAAAGTTACATGTAAATTGTACCTGTAATTTAATCAATAATGAAAATTAATTAATTTCATATCTCTTGATCAAATTAATTAATAATTGATATATATTGAAACCATATAAATTGAAAAAGAAGAAAACAATTAAGCTTTGACATGCAGTTTTATGATTGTTTTGAAATAAATGGTGCACCTTTTACAAGTTATAATAAGGAAACATTATCAAGTACCTGAAATTTTCTGTGAAATCTTTTTTCTGTG